TAGTCCAACCAAAATATATAGACTGCATAATTAATAAATTTTATTTGTAAATATTGTTCGTATCATGGACGGCAAAGACCTTGATTTACAACTTAATGTGTACAACAAAGACAAAGACTTTGACTTGCAACTTGGATTTGGGTTTGTGACTTGCAACATAGAAATGGACGAGAAAAACTAAGATCTTAAACATTTACTTTATCTTTTCTAATATTCACCACCTACTCAAGATTCAAATGATATGAAAATTATAAATTGTGTAAAGATTGAGAATTTTGGAGGTGCATTTATTCAAATATCTATTTGTTGACAAAACTATTTAGAATTAAAGCACAATTAATCAAATCAAATATGACATCAATTAATCAAAAATATATGCAAACCTTTTCTTTTGGGCCGGGCCATATTCTAGTTTTGGGCCATTAAAAAAAGAATGGAATAGAATAACTGGACTGGGCCACAAGGCCATGATACTTTTTTTTTTTAATTGTAATAATTAATTAAATTGATTAATTAACTAGAGCACTCTTTCTTAGAAAATTTTTTTTTTTTTGCAAGCATTAGTTTAGCTAAGTAACAGTTTTGTTTAAAAAAATAAGTTCATTAACCGTCAAAATCCCCATTTATTCTTTTTTAGGGCATAAACTTCATTTTGTTGTTATTGGATTATGTCCAAATTTTCTTCAAAATTGTCTCTATTGAGATAAATTATTACTTAAAAAATATTGATGCAATTTATAATTAAACTTTTTTTATCAAATCACCGTAAATTTTTGTTTAGAAAAATAAAATAATTTAAATTTAACAGTTATAATTAACCTATCGTTATATTTTTTAAGAGTAATAGTTTGCCTAATTTGATAATAAATATAAAAAAATTTTAATATTTAAATAATTTCGTAAAATATGCATGAAAAGATTCAATATACCCGCGCCTAGCCGAGCGTTGTTCGAGCAGCTGTCATGCAGAGGTGTGTTTCCCCAATCCAGCGGACTTTTTATCTGCAAATTTTGATCGAGAAAAGCAATAATGGGTCCCCAAGAGTGGCTTGGTGAAGACGAGAGCGCGAAGGAGATGCTCGATAGGGTTCAGACGGATCGGCCCTTCTTGCTTCTTCCTCCTCTTCATCGGGTTCCTCTACGCGTCGGCAATGTCGTCGAAATTGTTGGTCCTTCCGCCAAAACCCACATCTTGATTCAGGTAATCCTGCTTCAACTCTGATCCACCAGTTCTCTTTCTTTGTATTTACATTAATCTAAGTGGGGTTTTTCAAAATCGCAGGCTGCAATCAACTGCATCCTGCCTCAAGAGTCGGATGGCGTCAAGTATGGAGGACTCGGGCATTTAGTGATGCTCCTAGATTTGGATTGTCGCTTTGACATTTTACGGTTTTCGGAATTGCTCAAGCTTCGGATCTTGGAAGCCAGAGGTAAACTTCTTGAGTTTTAATCTGTAAAGAATTGTTTGGTTAGCGGTGGTGGATACTCCTTAAAAACAAGCACTTCCATATGAAGCTAGGAATAGCAAAAGCAAAGCTTAATGTCTAACTTTCCAAGAATACCCATTTCTTAATCGTTCCCAAATTTATCTTATTTTTATAGTTTGATGAAAGAATAGCCATTACCTCCAACCAAACATGATGTAAGGATGTAGTAATCTTTTATAGCTCGTTCGGTTTGATGGGAGTAGGATAAATTTTGCTATTTGAATAGCAAAAAATGGAAGGGAAGGCAAGGCAAGGGAGGGGAGGAGCTCCCCTTTAATTTTCTTTATTATAATTTTAGCATAACCAAACTAGGGAATGGGAGGGGAGCAAAACAGAGGGAAATGGAAGGATATTGTCTACCCTTCCCCTCCCCTCCCCTCCCCTCCATTCCTCTCCCTCCTTTTCCCTCAAACCAAACATGGGGTTAGTGTTGTCGGAAATGCATACCCAAGACCTATTAGATGTTTGGACTTATGAATTCTTCTAAAAGATTGGGAAGGACGTTTAATGTGAACTAAATTAAACAAAGTTACATGTATACAATGTAGACTATATTAAATGCCACACCCTTGTTAAGGACTTCTAAGCTAAAAGCTAAAAACTAAAAGCTTAATATGATAGATGGTTGTTCAA